GCAAAGAAGATGGCTATGCAAACCACAGGCCACTGAGCAGGGACTGACTGGGATCCTGTCTTTATAGCCAGTTGTCCTGACTTCTGATTGGTCTTTTCCTGAGCTGGTTTCTGATTGGTGCAAGTCGGTGAGGGCTGGTCTCTGATCAGTTCTTTGTTTGTGCTCAATCCTGATTGGTCGTCTTGGTGGTATAGATTCCTGATCAGTCCTTTGTTCATGCTGGCTTCTGATTGGTCATTTTTGGAGTGCTGACTCCTGATTGGTTCTTGGTTTGTACTGGGTTCTGGTTAATCTGAGCAACTGATTGGGTCCTTGTCCAGGCAAGTTGCTGATTTGCTCCTCTGTTCAAAACTCTATGGGAGGCCCAGAACTCAGGGGCAGAGAGCCCATGTTGTGTGCCAAAGGTCATGACAATTAATCCCAGAAGAACTGTTTTAGTTATTTTAAGATGGAAGTCACTCATCATTTATAGGAATGAATGAACCTACCAAATTCAGTTTTATTCATTTTTCCTGCCGTAAATTCATTCCAACCAGTTTATCCATCAGTTTGCATTTTTTTTTAAAAAAAGGCACAACAGTTATGCCTTTGAACATAGGCACTTTCTCCTGTTTCTGTATGCATTCATCCTTTTTTTTTTTTTTTTAATCAGTAGCTCTGCTAATACTATGTGTACTTTTCCCTAATAACACATTTTTGTGTACATGCTTATTGCGAACTCGGGTGGTAAAAACTGAAAGCATTGTATATCAGAGATCTTTGTGTAATCTCTTATGACCATCTTATCAGGAATGTTACGAATGCAACAAAGGAGAACTGAAAATATAAAATGTCAAGTTCTTTGAATGCATATTTATTTTATTCCCTTTAATAGGCCAGCTTTTCAAGAGAACATGTCCAAAAAATGAATGATATGCAGTCCCCTCCTAATTATATCAAGTTAATGTTGTAATCCTTGTACTCATGAAATGTTTATGATAAAGCCACGTTTACTGATACGAAACTATCCCCATGGTTGAAGTCTAAACCAAGAAGCAGAAGAGACTATATTGTGTAAACTGGTTCTTTTTAGGGTATTAAGAGTGTCTTTTTTAGAGTGCATCAGCAGGATGCAACACATAAAATGGCAATCTATGGGTCAGATTAAGCCCGAGTGGGTCCATTTCAAACAGGGGTCTTGGTTTTCCATATGCACATATAACTTTTTTGGAGAAAAACAGCATACATTTGCAAGTGACTCCCCCCCCCCACCCCTTCATATACAAATCTATAGCAAGCCTCCAGTTCAAATCATCAGGTATGCTAAAGCTATTTGCAGGCACATCCGCTGAATATTGTATCCTGTAAATTAGGTTTATGACTAAAGTGTGGAAGAGGAAGTTCTTCAAAATTAAACCCAAACTGGACATTTGCTGGCACAGAACTGACAGGCTGAATCAAATTAATGTGAAATGCAGCTGGCAGGCTCTCATTTTTTCGTTGGCGGGTTCTCATAGCCTTCTTAGGCTTGCGTGGTTATAATGTTGGAATGGCAGTAAAAACCACAACTATCAGTATTTCCCAACTGTATCACTCTAGAACAGGGTTTCTCAATCTTGGCTACTTTAAGATGTGTGGGCTTCAACTCCCAGAACTCCCCAGCCAGCATGCTGTCTGGGGAATTCTGGGAGT